AGAGCAAATGGTATTAGGTTGTTGGAATCCCTGAGCTAAATAATGGCTGTGAACACGTGTGCTGAGATTGGTTCTCTGCAGTGCCTGGGCTATACCCCTAGCATAGGCAGCAAAATAGGCTGTGGGCCAGTGGTCTGGTATCTGAAAGGATTGCCAGGACAAGTCTTGCAGAGCACAGGCCCATGAGCCACTGGGAAGTGGATTTCCCTAAATCTGGGAGCCATTTACAGTCACCTGGCTTTTATGGGCCCTGCAGCCTGAGAAGTGAGTCAGGGTGGCAGGTACTTCTGGGTGCCACGTTAGACAGAAGCACAAGTATTTGATGAATCAGTGGAACTTAATGGAACTAACTCCTGTCTCACTTCATAACTTTTTACCTATTTCCACATTTTTTTAAGGGTCGACCCCCTCTTCCTACAGTATCTCTATATCTTTGCCACTGACACATGCAGGCTTATGCCGAGACATAGAGGAGGTCATGCTCACACCACAGTTAACACATCTCTCTCTGTCAGTGGCTGAGCAGTGTGAAAGACAATTGCTAAGAAAGCTTTTCTCAGCATACTCATCACTTTTAAAGTATACGTTAGCAATACTTCCCCATGCAAAAATCTTCCAACAGATTCCTGTTGAAATGAAAATAAAATAAAAATTCCTTCCTAGGGCCAAATATAATTTCTCTTCAGTCTCCTTTCTTACTGTGCTTCATCCCACTGGATCTTAAGGTGAACAAACATGTTTCCCATATAGAAAGGATGGTAGGCAGAATTCTGAAGATGTTACTCCAAGAGACCCATCCTCTGCTTATTCAATCAAATCTAGGCCCTGCTGAGAAAGGACCTTGCAGAGGTAATGTGGTTACAGACCTTTAGATAGAGAGGTTATCTTGAATTATTTGTGTAGGGCCAATCTAATTTCGTAAGTCCTTAAAAGCAGAGAATGTTCTCTGGCTGGTTAGAGAAGAGGAAGGCTGAAGAGGCAGAAGAAAGATATGGGATGTCCACAATTTCAACTGTGAGAAGGATTTGCTCTGCAGTTGCAACTCCGTGCTGCAGGAGCCACGTGCAAGGGCTAGAGGGAAGCCTCCAGATAATAGCCAACACAAAGCAGAGATGTCAGTCCTACAACTGCATAGAAGTGAATTCTTAGCAACCTAAATGAGCCAGGAAGCCTCCCCAAGAGATTCCAGATAAGAGTCCAGGTCAGCTGACATCTTGATTTCAGTCTTTAGAACCCAGAGCAGAGAAACCAGTAGAGCCTCCGAGACTTCTGATATACAGACTGTGGGTTCTAAGCTGTAACTATGTGTGGTTCTAAGCTGGTAGATTTATGGTAGTTTGTTATCACAGCAATGTGGGGTAGGGAATATTACACTGTTCTTTGAGAGTGGAAAGCTCTTCCTTACAGTTTCTTCAAGTTAGTAAATATAATTTCTCCAGCAAGGCCTTCTGTGACCACTGTGAGAGAGCCTCCACTAACTTCTAACACATGCGTGTCTATTACTATCATATTTTCCTACGTTTTTTATTGGTAACTGTTACTAACTGAAAATACTTTTGCTGTGGTAAGGACACTTGGGCCATTGGTTTGTGACAGCTGGGCTCAGTCATCTCAACAAGTAGCAGTGTGCCTGCTGACCCACAGGGCCTGCCACAGCCAGTGAAGCCTAGCTGTTAGAGCTCTCTTCAGGTTAGCAAAATATAATTTCTCCAGCAAGGCCTTCTATGACCACTGTTTGTGAGATAGCCTCCACTAACTTCTAACACATGTGTGTCTTTGTCTCTAATCCTATGTCACACCCGTTAGAAGGTTCTTTCCAGTCAGAGACTTTATGTTCACTTTGCAACCATGTAAGATTCATGAGACTTCTGAAAAACCCAACTTTGTGAGAGGCACGCAGAGAAGCAGCATTGATTCAGGAGACTGAGTGGAGCTGTAAAAAGTCTTGATCCCAGAAGACATGGTAGCCACCAAATTAAAATAGCTCTTGTATTAGTGTATTATTGCATAACAAGATCACCACAAACTTAGTGACTTTTTTTTTTTTTTTTTTTTTTTTTTTTGAGATGGCATCTTACTCTGTTGCCAGGCTGGAGTGCAGTGATGTGATCTCAGCTCGTTGCAATCTCTGCCTCCCGGGTTGAAGCTGTTCTACCTCAGCCTCCTGAGTAGCTGGGACTACAGGTGTGTACCACCATGCTCAGCCAATTTTTATATTTTTAGGAGAAATGGGGTTTGATCATGTTGGCCAGGATGATCTCCATCTCCTGACCTCATTATTCTCCCGCCTCAGCCTCCCAAAGTACTGGCATTACAGGCGTGAGCCACCACACCCAGTCAAACTTAGTGAGTTTAAACAACACACATTAATGACCTTGCAGTTTCTGTGGGTCAGGCTTAGCTGGGTCCTCTGCTTCAGGGACCCATAGGGCTGCAATGGAGGTGTTGGTCAGGGCTATGGTCCCATCTGAGGCTTGGGGAAGGATCCACTGCTCAGCTCACATGGTTATTGGGCAATGTTCAGTTCCTTACAGATGACTAGACAAAGGGCCTCAGTTCTTGCCATCTATTGGCTGGAGGTTGCCCTCAGTTCCTTGCCATGTAGGCATTCCAACATGGCTGCTTGCTTCCCCAAAGTCAGAAGGGGAGAGAGCTTTTCCAGCAGCACAGATGGCATTATCTTCTTTAATGTAATCACACAGATGACCCTTTGTCACCTTTGCTGTATTCTGTTGGGTGAGAGCAAGACACAGGCCCTTTCCACTCTCCGGGAAGAATATTAAAAATGACAATTACCAGAAGGCAGGGATCATGGGGCCTGCTTCAGAGTCTATCACAGCCATGAAGTAAAGATTCAGGAAACAGAAGAGTTCTAAGTTCAAATAAAAATCTTAATGGAAAGACTGAATTTTTTTAAATGAAAAGGGCTGAAACAAGATAGATGCAGAATAAGCTGTGAAATCATTTTACAATCTTCAGCAGACAGCTGGAGTGAGGAGTTAAGTAGTAGGATAGATTCCAGGAAATTAATATCCGTATAATGGGGAATCTATAGAAAGTAAAATGGAGAGAGGGAGATTATAATCACATTATTAACAGATAATTTTTTGAGTGAAATACATAATTCATATCAAAAGCATCTAATGAGTGTGTAGTGTTAGGATATATATAGGTTTTTTATCCAGGGTTCTTTGGCTCATAACTCCCACAGCCTTTATATATATAGTCTTTCTATGATGTTAAGATATGTTAGGCCTCCTTCCACCCTAAAGTTCTTCCACCTTTCTGATTGTATTTATACTCTCATGAAACCCCAAGAGGACAGGGTTCAGAAAGCTTCCCAATAGCTGAGCATGTGGAGGTTCCTGGAGGGTGGTACACCCAGGGAGGGCATGGAAGCTCCAAGCCCCTTCCCCCATACTCACCCTAGTGTTTCTTTATCTGTATTTTTTCCAGTATAGAGCAATAAACTGGTGAACTAAGCAAGTGCTTCCCTGAGTTCTGTAAGGTCCTTCTTCAAATTCATTGAACCCAAAGAAGGGGTCGTGGGAAACTTAACTTGAAGCTGGTTGGTCAGAAGTTCTGAAGGCCCGTACTTGGCGACTGGTATGGGGGAGGATTCTTGGGGACTGACCCCTCAGCCTGTGGCATCTGACACTATCTCTAGGTAAACAGTGTTGGAATTGAATTAGAGGACATGCAGCTGGTGTCCGCTGATGGGTGTATGGGGGAAAAAAACCCACATTTGATAACAGAAGTCTTCTGTGCTGATTGTTACGTGAGAGTAGAGGAAACGTTCGGTTAGAGGGAGTTTTCTTTCAACAGAGGATTAAACGAGACTTGGGGATGGATTGAGACATATCTTGGTAAAGTCTCTGAGCCTGGGGAAAGAGCAAGAGAGCACAGCCAAAAAGGCAGTCTATGAAAGACTGAAGTGTCAAATGACATTACTGAAAAGTAACAGGCGCAGTGGCTCACACCTGCAATCCCAGCACCTTGGGAGGCTGAGGTAAGAACGAGGATCACTAAAGACCAGGAGTTCGAGGCCAGCCTGGGCAACAGAGACTCCATCTCTCTAAAAATAAGCCAAGCGTGGTGGCATATGCCTGTGATCCCAGAGACTCGGGAGGCTGAGGTAAAAGAATCACTTGAGCCTAGAAGTTCGAGGCTGCAGTGAGTCATGATTGTACCACTGCACTTTAGCCTGGGTGACAGAGTGAGACACTGTCTCTAAAAAGAATAATAATAATAGTAATAATAATAAAACAGTGCTTACAAAGTTCTGGGGGCAAATAATTTTGCGATTAGTTTTGTAGATCTAAGATGTCAAACGGGACTGCAGTAAATTCTTATTTAGACCCAATGGACCCCCAAATTATCATTCATATATTCTTTCTGGGGGAAAAAGGGAAAAAGAATGCCTTAGGCAAATGAAAAATGAATCAGGATAAAGAAGTCAGCAAAAGGAAAGCTATAGTACATACCAAGCTACCATGAGCAAAGGAACCAGCCAACCCTGTGACAGAGTCTAAATAATTTTTGACAATATAGTTGTACAGTTTAATACAATGGTTAAAATGAATTCCTGAGATAAAAACATAACATTAAAAATATCCAAAACTAAAATTCTAGAAGATTTCAACACACAGGAATAAGATATAAGAAAAATAAAACAACTGCTCATATTTTATTGTGTTATGTTTTGTTTGAGGGAGGTTGGCATATGTTCAGGTACGTCTTGATGTTGAAAGTATGTAGGTTTAGGGTTAGGACCAGGGCATTGAGATTGAAAGGTGGGCCCCACGGCAGGCACAAGGTGAGGGATTTGAAGTGAAGCCTGTGCAGTGGGTTGGGGTGGGTCAGGCTCTGGCGTCATAACAGCAAGGGCAGAAGGCAGTCAGGAGGCCAGGGGGTGAGGACATTGCAGGGAACCCTACTCAAGCCATGTGCTTTATTCACTGGTCTTTTAAAAATACATATTTTTTATTTTGAAGTATTTTTTTTATATGAAGTACTTTATGAATTTGCATGTCATCCTTGCTCAGAGGCCATGCTAATCTTCTCTGTATCGTTCCAATTTTAGTATATATTGCCAAAGTGAGCACATCCATTAAACTTCTAGAACAGTGAAAAAGCAAAACAGTAAGATCACATTGTTTCCTGAAAGATGACATTGTCAGGAGGCTTGGATGTTACTCTTCATAGAGGACAACAATAACAACAGGAAGTCAGGATTTTAGATTAATATATCTATGGAGCACAGAAGTAGTTTAGTGTAATTTATCCACTACAAGGGCTCTGATTATTTAGAAAACAGGAATAATATGGTGCAAAAACAAAGTAAATCCAGACTCATAAATTCAGCCACTGCTCCCATTATTGGGCCCTATCACAAATTTGGAATATATGATAACTAAATTTTTAAAAAGGCAGCTATATTTTGCCATAAAAATGACTTCAATAGACATTTGTCTCATTAAAGAGTGGATACTCTCCCGTTTTCAGCAAATTACTGCTGAAATCCTTATACTGAATTAAACTAAACAGACCTGGAACTGTCAAAAGGTGTTGTCAAGACAATTATTGGAGCTCCAAGAAAACGATAACTAACACATGACGTCTGAGCAGAGTAGAATCTGGGGGTTGCACAGCACCTACTGTGCATGGCAGCTAAGAGCCCCACCGGGAGGTGCTACCCTTCCTACACTCTGTCACTGCTCTTGGAGAATGGTGCTCTTTGCAGTCATGATTTCATCAGTCATTCATCTCTCGAGTGGATCCAAGGACATCTAGGAGACCTCTGTTGAACAGATATATAATGAGAACCACATATTACATTTTAAACCTTCTGGTAGCCACATTAAAATAGTAAAAGGAATTAGATGAAATTAATATCCTATTATCATTTCAACATGTAATCAATATAAGATTTATGAGATACTTTACATAATTTTTTCTTTTCTGTATTGGGTCTTTGAAATCTGGTGTAATTTTGCATTTAAAGCACGACTCAGTTCCAGCTCACCACAGTTCAAGTGCTCAGTCACGTGAGACCAGAGGCCGCCATGTTGGACAGGGCAGATCTAGATCATAGTATCTGTGACTCTGTCTATAATTAAGGCTATTTCTCTTACAACTCCGTGCTGTACATCTGCAGGCAGCCTTTTGAACTGAAAAATAATTTAATTTTTATACCTTTAAGGTAAAAGGTGAGAATCTGGTGCTTCACAGAAATAGACTGGATTTTGCTCTTTAAGAGCCTCACATCCATTTACCCCAACATTGACACATATTTGGATACCGATCTTTAAAAACTCTCAGCCTTCATTGTTAGGCATTTTGCTGCAGTCCAGGCTCATTCTGTTATATAAAATCATGTGGTGCAAATTATACCATAAAATTATTTACAGAGGAAAATTTAAAAAGTAATATTAATAGTTATAAATAATTTAGAAGTACCTATTGAAGAGCAAAAGAACATAAAGCTATATAAAAATGGAAATGCTTGGAATAGTGCTATTATTGATACATATTTTTTTTGAAAAAGTCCTTAAAGTTGTTGATACTGAAGTTTGGAACTCACAAAATAATATGAATCTAACATTGCATTTTAGTTTACTGTTTATGTTATGCCTGTTCAATACTTGAGGTAGATAGATGACTTTGTGAGTTTTAATAAGTGATCATCAGCTATTTTACATAAAGTTACTTTCATTTAAATAAAAAGTATTCAATCAGTATTGCTAAAACATCTAACTAAACATATGTAACATGTGAATATAAATATATTAAATATGTATATATCTCATGTAAAGATCAAAACTTGTTTATATGTGTTTGTTTATGTCTAAAATGTAAGTGTAACTGTCAGTAAAATAGAAATAGGACATAGATCAGAAATGGGATACGAAACTTCCAAATCATAAGAGAAAAAAATAAAAACAAAGGAAACCCAGTTAATTCAGTGAAATCGAGAAAAAAAATGTTTAAAGTTGAAGTGAAACTAATAAACGCTTAATAAAGAGAAAATTTTAAATAAGATGTCAGGAAAAACAGCAAACATTTCAGGATTAACAATAAATGCGAAAACTTGATTAATAAGCAAAGCCACCTAGATTAGGTAAAAAGGCAACGTTTAATTACATTATCTTTATAAAATGAAATAGAAATATTGAAAATAAAGGAATAGAAATATAAACAGCAAAGTGCCAACAAAGATGAGGAACAGGGCTTTTAATACCAGAAAAAGGAGGAATCAAGGTAAAAAGCAATAAAGTAGATAGAGAAAAATATTTTATGCTGATAAGAAGTTACTGCCTTTACATCCGTCATAAACCTTTACACATTGAACTAAAAGCATCCAAACATAAATTTAAAGAAAATACCAGTCACAGACATTTACACATTCAGCTAAAAGCCTAAAAATATAAACTTAAAATTAAAAAATTATAATACTAGCATAACATCTGGAAATAGTGATATTGCCCAGCGTTGGCAAAAGTTTGGAGAGTAAAATGTTGCAGAGTTTAGGTAAACCCAGCCTTTTTGGATAGGAATCTGGTAATATCCGCCAAAAATGATTCCACTTCTAGGAATCTATACTACATACATAAGTTCACTGAGACACTTTAAAAAAAAAAACAAAAAAAAAAAAAAAACGAGATGGCTTAACTATCCATCAGTGAAAGATAGCTGAATCTGTTCTATGGTCTGTGCAGTGGATTTTAAAAATCAAGTCAATGTATGTGCACTGATAGGGAAAGAGCTCCAAATTCTATGTTCAGTGAAAAAAGCAAGCTGCATATAGTTCATGTACTTAATAAACGTAAGCAAAGGAATACGAAAAGCTCCAGAAGGGCATACAATGACAGTTAAAAGTGTTTACCTCTCTGGGGGTAGGCGTTGCGGGAGGGAGGAAGACTTCGTTTGACTTCACTCACACATTCAATATGGTTGTTTTGTTTACAATGATAATCTACTTTTTTATAATTAAAAAACAACAAAATACTATTTTTAAAGTACCGAACATCGCTTTCTTAAATAATTAAACAATATATTTTTTTCAACTGGCGCCATTAGGTTTGTTTGGAGAGACAAGTGGTAAGAATTCAAAGTCCCTATTACAAATTCTTCTCAGAAAACATCATGCATTGCATTTAGGAAATGGGGCTGAAAAGATGATGACCAAACAGAAAATGAATCTTTAAAAAACAGGTTGAAAGTCTCCGTGTTTTACACACATATAAGATTGTATTTAGAAGTAAACCTCCCAGAATCAGAAACCTTAGCAACTAGATTCATCCAACTCCAAATTGAGCAAACCTACTGAAATTGCTTTAAAAAGTAGTTGTGAGGCAAATACAAATTTCATCTGCATTTTAAGAAACTGAATGTTCAGAAACCCGTTCTACGAAGGAATCTTTGAGCAAGCAACATATATGCATAACATTACATCTGTGACCACAGAAGTGGATAACTTCTATTTTATTGGAGTTTGGGATGCAGAGACTGTTGAGCTCTCACATCTGGAAGAAATAGCATGACGATGTACATGCTTCTGACCTGGTGGAACAATGCAACCCCCAAGTGCATGATAAGCACCTGGAGGCATAATTTCGCAAAATACAGAAAATTGCTGTAAAACCAGGGCATGATTGTAATTTAAGGGAAATGGTGCAGATAAATCTATTTTAATGGATAAGCTTAGTAGATGCAAAATAAATATGTCAGCACTTCATTATTTATTCCTTTCAACTGGTCTAAATTAGAGTGGAAAGTGCACACAATATCCACGTTAGAATTGTACACGTAGAAATGAACAAATCTTTTTTCTAAGGCATTTTAGTACTTTGGAAAAACTTAATCCTAGTCGAGCCTTAATTTCAAGCCTCTCTTTCTTTGTCAATTCCACTGCATAATCCACTGAGCACATTTTTGTGTCAGACATTTCATAAGCAGTCAAGTTACTCACCACTGAATAGAGTTCATAAATTCTCTTTTGCTCAAGTGAGTCTCTTTTGACATGGTAGAGTTGGTTATTTCATTCAGTATAAAATAAGTTAGGGAGACTGAAGAGAGAGATCCCTACCTGGGATTACTGCCAGACAACGGAGCAGTGATGTCCGTGATAATGAGCCCAATCTGAGTACCTTCCAAGGCTGTTTTGCATTCCAATCTGGCAACTTTTGGTTTATTGGCAGTGATACTGAAGCTGGCTTGTCTTTGTTGCAGCCTGTGAAATAAACTTTATTAGTAAGGATCTCCTAAAATGATACCGAAATTTAGGGTCAAGTCATAGATATCTAGTTTCAGAAATGAGGAATTCAATATAGTATTTCCTTTAATTAAATTGTGCTAATTTATGTAAACATAGTAGGTACCTTATAATATTCTAGAGAAAATATGACATTTTTTAAAAGCAAGGAAAAAATTTCCGTGGTAACATGATAAATGATGTTATCAGCTTAAGACTTGTTATTAACTTTAAACAGGAGAAAATATATTAAAATAATAAAGATAAATTTGCATAAGAAACAAAACCACATTTTCTGAGGTAATCATAAAATTTTGTACAGGCCCAGGGGCAAAAAGTAAAACCCCTCAAACTTTCTCTATAAAGTACTAGAACTTAACAGTCTCTGTGTTCCTTGTCTCTTCTTCATGTTCACTGTGTTTTATTTGTTTATTTGATTAATTAACGTTTATTTTTTGAGACACAGTCTCGCTTTGTCACGTAGACTGAAGTGCAGTGGCATAATCTTGGCTTACTGCAACCTTTACCTCCCAGGTTCGAGTGATTCTCCTGCCTCAACCTCCCAAATAACTGGGACTACAGATGCCCGCCACTATGCCCAGCTAATTTTTCTATTTTTAGTAGAGACAGCACAAGGAACCAAGTTAGCCAGGTTCGTCGCGAACTCTTGACCTTAGGTGATCCGCCTGCCTCAGCCTCCCAAATTGCTGGGATTACAGCTTCAAGCCCCCAAAGAATTCTTCCCCCCAAGGTAAAAGTTCTCTTCCTGCTCTAGGGTGATGGCGGCCAGAACGGTCTCTCCTTTCAGGAGAATCTTCCACTCCAGGAGCCAGGCAAAACCATGGAGAAGGCT